CACTTGCCAACCGTCTCTGGGAGTTGGAATCCCTCTCTGGAGTCAATGGGAGTCAGAGGCGAGTGTGTGACGTCAATCAGGCTCAACAGTATCATCGTCCATCGATGTGTAAACAGAGTGACTTGGACACCGGGGACAGCTGTGCAGTCCAGAAGCTTCGGCCACTCTCTAGTCACCCCCACACATCAATAGCTTCTGGGTGAGGAGGGAAAATGGGCTCTACCTCCTAGCTCAGCATGTGCCCCTGAACAGGAAGGAAAACGTACAGTATTTTAAAAGCAAACAGGCTGCCCACAGAGACTGGTTAAGAATCTTGTGTTTTATTTTGTTAAAAAAAAAAGGAAGAAAAAAGGAGCTTAGGTCATTGACTTGTCTGAATAAACAATTTTTTCTTCTTCTGCTAACAGCAGTTAACTTTTAATCCCTCACTCAAAAACTTCACAACTTCAAGTCTTTGGTATGTGCTTCACTGCTTTCCTGGTTCTAGACACTCATAGACGGTACATCCTCATATTAATCAGCTAACGTACAAAGTTGAAGAGTCCTCATATTTAAAAAAAGTTCAAATCTCTATCAGTCAATTATCAGGGCAAAGTAGCATTCGCTTGGTGAATAGCCATTCTCAGCAGCACTAATTATCTTTGGGTTTTCCTGAAGTACAGAAAGTAGAAAAAAACTAGGCAGATATGTCCAGTTCAGATCAAAGCTGCAAATGCCATTTTCAAAATGAAAGCCGGAGGCAAACCTTCCCCTCTTGGTTCTCTTGCGCTGCGATAACAGAAGGAGGCTTCCCCGCACAGAACTCTGTTTCCTCATAGTAGCTGCCTTCTCAGGGAAGGCTCTCTCCTTCTGGTGGCTCTAGAGCAGCGTTCTCAACCTGTGGGTTGTGACCTCTTTGGGGGTCAAATAACCCTTTCACGGGGGTCGCCCAATTCATTACAGTAGCAAAATGACAGTGATGAAGTAGCAACGAACATAATGTTATGGTTGGGGGGGTCCCCACCACATGAGGAACTGTAAGAAAGGGTGGCGGCGTGGGGAAGGTCAAGACCCACTGCTCCAGGGGAAGGGCTTTGCTTGTTGACCATTCATGTCCTCTGGCACCTCTCTTCCCCCATCTCAGCTTGTTTAATTTCCTTCTTTTGTATCTTGCAAGAGATTGCTCAAGACATAACCTACCCATAGGTCTCCAAACTTATTTGGACTACCGCCCCCTAAAAAAATTATTCAGCAACACCCGCCCCCCTTGCTTCCACTAAAAACTTTTGCACAATAGTCGACAATCCAGGATAAAGTGTGGCTATGGGCTTTTGCTGGGACCCCTGGTGGTGTGGAGGCTATGTGCTGGGCTGTGATCCCCCTGGTCAGCAGTTTGAAACCACCAGCATCGCGGAAGGAGAAAGACTGGGCTTTCTACTCCTGTCAATAGTTACAGTCTCAGAAACCCCCAGGGGTCCCAGAGTCAGCCCTGACTCGATGGCAGCTAAGCATGGGCTTTTGCAGCCCCCGGGATCATTCCATCAGCCCCCAGGGGTTGGTATCAATCTGGGAAACTGCTCTACACGAATGCAGTCTACTACCATGAGTGAAGCGACCCATTCCCAAATGAGGTTCACCATATGCAGAGGTCAGGATTGGCCACACATGGGGGGGTGGGAGGATGGGACATAATTCAATTCATAACATTCTACACTTTGCTTTCTCCCCTGAAATTCATGTTCTTGCCACCGGGAAAACATAGTTACCTCATCCCATCATACCCCAATTCAAATCAACCCCAACTCTAAAATCTCATCTTCTGAATCATCAAAATCTAACTTGTGTTCCATCCTGGGACTCTTTTTCTGTGACCCTGTGAAATCTAGAATACTACTCATCTGCTTTCAAAAGAACTGGTGGAGAGGCACACGGGACAGGCATTTACATCATAGGTGGGAGAATTTGGGGGAGAAAGAAGGGTTCACAGAACAGATGACACGTACTCTCAATGCTTCAACACAATCTTGTTTTCTTCCGAGCCACCGGGGCAATGACCCAGCCCTCCCCAGCCTGTCAGTGTGGGTCCTGCCCTTTGGATCCCGGGTAGAAGCCCCTCAGCCCTGGGCTTCAGCTCTGGCCTTCCTAACCCTCTGGAATGACCACTGTTGCACCGGCTTTAGGCAGCCCCACTTTCCTCGTCCATCTGAGTGGGGACCTCACCACTTTGGGCCCAGGAACCCTGCTTCCTCAGCGGCAGGTGGTGACCCTCCTCCCTAGCTCACCTTAAAAGCCACCCTGCATTCCCCACTTAGTTGTCTTGGGAATCTAAGAGGCTGGGGGTCACCCTTTGAGATCTGGGGGGCCTGTGGCACCCATCCTTTGAGACAGAGAAAGCCCCGCTTCCCGTGATGCACTCAACAGTTCTCCCGATCTCCAAACTGCTCCAGAGGATGGCCCTTGTCTTTGCTTGGAGGAAAACAGACATCATTTCTTTGGCAGTTCCTGCCTGTAGAATTCCACGAGGCAGGACAGTGTTCTTTCGTTCTTTCCTTCCTTCCTCCCTCCCTCCCTCCCTTCCTTCCTCTGTCCCGTTCAGCCTACGCTGAGGTGGTTTCTGCCGTGGTGGTGGTCAGAGCCATCAGTCACAAGCTTAATCTCTCTCAGGAGAAATTGTGTGGCCACATCCTTGCTGAGCATTCCAGGGCACTGGTCCTTGCTTTGCGCAACAGAATGCTCCCGCGTTCCCTGTTCATTTTCTCATGGTTTATTTTCCAGTGCGCCTCTTCCACCTGCCGTTCACTGAAAGCTGAAAGGAGAAACCGGGTGGCCCTTTAAAGATCCTGCTTGGAAATCTCACCAGTCACATCGTCAAGTTCATCAGCTAGAAGAAAACATGGGAACATGCTTCAGCGAAGTCCTTTGTCGTGATAGAAAGAGAACCACTTGTCCATCACTGTCTAATCATGTGGGCAGCATATTCTTTGAAAGCTTTACCAGAAGCACATTTTAAAAAATCATTTTATTAGGGGCTCATACAACTCTTATCACAATCCA